ATCACTAAAAGAGAGCAACAAACAGCTAAAACATGAGCTTGAAAAGACACAAGATCTATTACGACTAGAGCAGTCTGCACATAGGAATGACCTTGATAAGGTAAAACCAYGCAGAAAAACATGAAGTGGTCTCAATAGAGTACAAACACTAAAACTGTGCAACATAAATACCACAAAACACTGCTAAATTATGCTATAATTTTCTATTGTTTAATTAACACTATTTTGTAGTAAATAGTGAAAAGTGTTGCACACATTTAATGTTTGTACTCTATAAGAACTAAAACAAAGGCTTAATATTATTTAGTACTTGCCTGAGAAAATGTATCAAAAAAAGAGTGAACAATGATTTTGATTTCCTCCGTTTCTTGATTTTATGTCTGACCTAATGCATTTTTGTAGAATACCCTCAATCACAACAGAAATKATTAGGGAAATTAGTAGAAAACCCAATTTTTCTTGAATCTATTGTACATTTGATTAATGTAATCAAAAATTTCTAATTTCTAATTCTGATCAAAATGTTTCAAAGATATTTAAATGCATGCCCTTTATCTGATATAGTTTTATGTTTTTGCACTTCAGTTATCAAAAGAAGAACAAGTTTCATTAGAAGGTATGCATCTTTCCAACTCCTTTTTTTTACTCAGCCAATAATTTGTTTTTTGTTTTTTGCCAATTACAATTAAAGGGACATGGTCCACCAGCATCCCTTTCAAGCTTAATTTGTTTATGTTTGAAAAAAGAAATACATCGTAATATAAGCAAAAACCTACTCTCTATTAGTTCCTTTATCCTATATGAATGGAGATGCTTTAGATTCGACCGTTAAACCGATGGATGGAAACGGATTGCAAATGGATATTCGAAGTCACCTCAWTTTCCATATATGAAAAATCTAAAACACGACGGCATTGCATGCTAGTGGACCATGTCCCTTTAATGTATGGGCTACCCTGGTGTAAATCCTGGATAGGATCCTACAGGACCCTGTTCAGGATCCTATTCCTACTTAAGGATTCCTACGTAAGGATTCTGTCTCTACATAGGATCCTATTTCGGATCCCTGCATTCCTAAATAAGATCTCATGATCACAGGATCATGTCTAGGATTTGTACCAGGGTAATAAGGCATACATTAGTATTGGTGAGCATCAGATGCAGATTCAGAACAGCTATATGAAATATTATAATAATTTATTGTAAATGATTTTTATTGTTGTTGCTTGTTCTCCAGCAAGTCTACAAAGAAATCATCTCCGCAATGAACTGAGTGAAGCAGAAATGCTTCATAATTCTGCTGACCAAGAGAACATGGCKCTCAAGAGAGACAAAATACTTCTCACAGAYGAAGTAGCTAGTCTAAATGCAAAGGTACAGTGAAACCCCTCTATACCGGACCCTCAATATACCGGAATTCTCTCTAAACCGGACAAAATCTTTGGTCCGGAAATTTTTCCATACATCTTTTGTAAAATTAACCTCAGTATACCGGAACCTCTCTACTCCGGAAACCGGACGATTTTTTCGGTACCAAACGATATTTTACAGTAGAATTGAACCCCGCTAATCCGGAAAAACTTAACCCAAACACTTATTTTTCCATTCAGTATCGGTTTTTTCATGTTTTATCTTGAGAGCAACTTTCGTTTACATGTTTGTTTACACTGACACCAAACGATTATAGACACGATGATATTCCACGATGATATGTATATATGACCGTGCAATTTTTAAGCAATAAATAACATATTTTCGTGCATTCCTGGAGGATTTTGAATGTTTTCCCAAGATCCCAGTGGTTTATATCACCAGGAACGCACGAAAATATGTTGTTTTATTGCTTTTTTATATTTAGAGCATTTTCACATCCATGTGTATAATAATTACCAGTGAAATAAACRATAACATTTGACCAAACAGAAATCATGTTCTATGATAGCTATATAATATAAATGATAATTGTATATATGATATCAAAGAGGCAAGATTTTGCTGTAACTCCGAGTTTCGTGCTACGCACTCATCAGAGTTACAGCAAAATCTTGCCTCTTTGATATCATATATATAACTAGCTCTACACTTTTAATGGGATCAGCCACTTCCTCATACGATTAAATGATAATATTGTAATTAACAATATTGTTCACTCCCTGAAATGCCACAAGAATGTCCCTGAGCTTTTCCTGTCATCAAATCAAAGCAAGAAGCTCTGATATCAATTAAATCAAAGCAAGCTCTGATACCATATAATTAACAGTTCTCATTTGGATGTTTGCAGCTGGATGATAAAGAAGAAGAGATTGAAAGTATCAAGCTTCAGTTAGAAGAAGCAGAAACAAGAGTCGCCCAGCTAGAATCTAAAAACAGACTACAGCGAAACTTGGAGTCCATTAAATGGGAAGAATTTGAAAAGCTGGCAACAACAATGAAAGCTTTTTCCAGAAATATGAATTCTGGCAAGCATGACAAGGAAATGGATTATGATTAGARACAAATTATCAGCTTGCCTGTTACAGTTTGAACTTCTTGAACTCCAACTAACAAGAATTTTAAGTTTTGTATCAGACTGTTTTGATAGCCTGAGATAGAGACTGGTGCCAATGCTTTCTACTTAGTCTTTCCCAACTTTGTTGACACAGGAATCCCACTCACATGAGAGGTTATTCTGCAAAAAAACCTACATGCCATGTTACTACAGTGTCCTTCCAGGTCACTTCTGCCTTAAATTAAGACAGCACTAATGATCCAGTGAAATGATCTCAAGATGGAGTTTAAAGCTGAGTAATAGGCAGCGTAGCCATTCCTCAGTGGGCCTAAGGGCAAACTCCCTTGGCGTCATGACCACTAATGAGTCAAACAGATGTCACTGCATTGTTTCTGGTTCTCATATTTTTTAATAAAAAGTATTAATTGTTGTCTTAGTGTTTCATATTCTCTTTGAAGTGGGGCTAGGWACAGGAAGCCCAATTCTGAAATAAGCTAATAATAGTGCATATAATGCAGGTCAAAACAAAGCCTGAGCATTAACTCAATATGATTTTTAACACAGGATCAGCACTAATCGATCTTTGAACAACTCCGTCCATAGTTTTAGATTGCTTGCGATATCCTTCTTATGTAGAAGATAAGAGGCAATTTGTTATCATCAATTTTAATCCAATTAATTTTAGGCACTATTAGCCATAGAATGAAAAAAAGTATACTGTAATATCACAAAAATTACAACAAAATAAGTAGCATTTGGTGAAATACTTCATTTTGAAGCTTGGGACTTTTGGGATCCCTTTGATACTCCTCAAACTGTTTAATATAAGAAGTTAATTCATGCTAAAGCCTGACAGCTAAATAGCAAAGTGGGAATTCAAATTAGAGTACAAACACTGAATTATGTGGTGCTTTTGCTGACTATTTCCTTATGTATAGAATCATTTTTAGATATTTATCCTGTACTAGTTGAAAAACAGCAAATTGTTGTAAATGATTACTTCATCTAGAGTAATGGAAAAGGCAAAATCTTTGAATATTTACAAATTGACAGAGTGAATTTATTGAACAACTGAAATAAAACTTGATTATTGAAGTGTGATAGTCAAATACAAACTGAAAACAATGAAATTAGAGTGTACTACGAAATGAATTCTTGGGATTTTTATTTCAACTGTCTTTTTAGTTCACTCTAAAACAAACTTGAAGTATTTTTTTGGCTAAACACAATGTTGCAACTAAGGAAAAACAAGAACAGTAGGGTTTTATGGAAATCGAAACAGTTTTTTGGCAAAAAGTTCTTGTATTTACATAAAATATACTAATATTACTAATAAAGATATCAATATTACTAATTACTAATAAATATTGTTGATTAGATGCTGTTGAAAAAGAAATAAGCATACTTTAATCCAATCGTCTTCTTCACTGTTCTCTGCATCCTGTTACAGCAGAAATCGTTGCATCGCCACCTCTTTGTTTTGAAGTTTGTCTGGATTTTGTTCTCTCTTTCAATCTGAGGGGCGGAGCTTTTCGAAAACTCGTTCAATCATTGGCTGATTAGTATCAAGCTCTGCCCCCAAGTCGCAGAAAAACCTAAATCCCAAGTATTTTCTTTGAACACTGAAGTCGCGATGCAACGGTTTCTGCTGTAAAAGGTGGCTGAGCCTCTATATCTATATAGTCTCTTTCAACAGCTGCGAAAGAGACTGTTGAAAGAGACTACTACATATAATAGCAACATTTATTATAACTCAAARTAAGGTTTTGGCCATTTTAAGGCCATTGTTCAATATAACATCACACTTACATTCAAAAGACATGAACCACGCCCGCCAGATAGTTCGCTATTCAATGCATTATTGGATTTTTCATTTTAATAATTTTTTTTTCAACTTCAGTTGATTAATGCAAAATTAAATTCAAATCTTGAACTCTTATAGTGACAGAAAACAACACAGCTTTTTCCCCAGCTTTTTGCCATTCCTTTCTCACGAGAAGGAACAGATCCAACCAAATTGAGACATCATATTGCAATACACCACTTGTGGAAATTACAAAAGACAAGTACGTTTACAAGCGAAATACGAACGCTTTATGAAAATCTGACCAATAATCTAATCAAATATCAGTCAAATTTGATTTCAATGTAATATTGAATCGACCAAGAATCAAATAATGGTGTTTTGAGGGGCCGCACTTCCTGTCTTTTGACTGTAAGCTATGCAACTGTACAAACTAAATAGTGCATGTAGAATGCAAATATTAAATTGATACAAATGAAGCACTCAATAGCTTCATTAGTACTACTTAGATTGCTTTAAAGTTGCATGGCTCAAGTGCCATCACCATGCGTTTAGAGTGCAAGTCACATAAGCATGAAACAATTCTTAACTATGTAGTGCTAAATAAGAATTAGTTATCAACTAACTAAGAATTGAGAACAATGCTACAAAGAAATTTAAATAATTGGCATTGTGTTTATGCTTTGTTGAATTCTTAGTTAGTTGATAACTAAAACTTATTTAGCAATACATGTTAAGAATTGTTTCATGCTTATGTGACGTGCACTCTAGATTTTCAGGACTGAACAATCATGAAATGTTGTAGATGTACACGTAAAGTCATTTAACTATACTGTGATCTTAACTGCAAATTTAATACAAATGAATTACATTTAATGAAGTACAGTAGCTTGTGCTGATAMAGGGGATGCTGCAAAATTGAAAATGTTTGAAATTGCTAGTATTTATCAAGTAGATTTTGTTCATTAAAAACCATGTAGGCCATTGAAAAAGACATGAAATTTGAGATATCATTACCGACCCTGACCCAAACCAGACATGGTACCAGCAATAAAGCAACAAGTTTTTATGAAAGTTTTTTTTTAGAGTTTATTAAAGCTATTACCACAGAAAGTAAAAATACAATTCAATAACACAGAATGTGTTACACTCCATATGTAAATTATAGCAACAATTCCAATGTTTCTAAATGAACATCTGGCTAAGGAGAAAACTCACACGGACATGTACTGTATATAAAAATCAAGACAATTGAATTTTACAGAACTTGATTTTGTACAGGCACAAAAATKGACAAAGAGTAAACGACACTATCTAATAAGATACAAGCACTTATTCTAATAAACCCATTACTACTTGGGGTATGTATACGCAACATTTAGTGGAATAATCTGTAAAAAAAAAGATAAAATAAACAACCATTATTATTATGCAAAATATTGTTTACTCAAAAGAGAGTAATATGTAAATAATTAAATTGCTTCTCTGCCTAACAGTTTTGGTGCTATGCACTAAAAAAAMMCATCCTTATCCTGGTGATAAAAGCCATATACAATGCAAGTTGCATTTCTTCACCAACCCTTTTACTTACCCAAGGAAAGCACATGCAAGAACAAAAAGAACCATTGGTGTGAGGACACCTACAAGGAAAACTCAATTAGGAAATTTCCAATAAATATGAGCAGGATAGAGTTTTACTTACTTGACCCTGCTGTAGTTGTTACTTCTGGTGTAGCAGTTGTCATTGTTGTAGATGCATTAGGTCCCATAGCAGTCGTTGTTGCACCTGTAATGAAACAAAATATATTACATACATATAAGGCTTTCATTCTAAGCAACTAATAGCCCACATTCAATATATTGGCTGACTGGTCATAGTTACAAATGGAAGACTACTCCAGGGAAATAAGAATATTCTATTACTTTTGTTTTTCTCATTGCTGTTTCCACTTCTTTTATAATAATATTAAATATATCAGATTCATGCAAAATTTTCACTACAAAATTCCAAGACTTTTCAAGTAATTTTTAAGCACAAAAATGCATTTTTCAAGAACTATTTATGAAGATATGTTTTGATGTTTGTAAATCTTTGCAGTGGCGATTTTCAAAAATAGCCACATTTCAATCCAAATGTCAAAATATGTTAATTTCAAGGAGTTTTAGCAATTTTTGCCATTTTCAAGGGCTTTTCAAGCGCCCTTGAAAACGAGTTTTCAATTCCAGGAGTTTTCAAGGATTTCAAGGAGTAGCCTGAACCCTGATATATACACATTTGAAGTAACCGATGATGTGAAAGTGAAAAAAATATTCACATATAAATAAGCAGAATATACTTACTTGTCGTATTTGTAGCATTAGATGCTGCTTGGGACAAAGCAACTACGATGAAACAAGAAAAGATTTAGTTTAATAAGATACAATTTTACTCCCAAAACAATTGGACTTTTTTTTTTCTTGTCTTAAACACTTACCTGCAGCGAGGAAAATGACAGCAATTAATACGATTTTTCCCATCTACAAAATAAAAAAAAACCAAGGTCAGTAAAGCGTCAAAAAACTCCACATGTTCAYAACATACAAGCAAAACAACTAGTCCTTGGCATGTAACGTCACGCACTATAAATTATGTATAAAGGAGTAATAGAGCCCGGTCTGATATAGATAACACTAGCTCATTGTTCGGTATACGCCCTATTAGTGAAAAGAATATACATTTCCYGCACATGACATTTTTTTCATGTCATATCTGACAAGATTCCGACTGTTCTCTTCTCAAAAACAGACAATAGGGAATAAAAGAAGGGACCAMTCATGCTCTSWTAAATACTGAAATAGCTTTTCGAGGAATGCGATGTTGTGAATTCACAGATTCGCTTTCAAGTTGTAGTTTCSTTTTGACATTTCGAATCMAGTTGTGTTATTTTAAGCTCTTATATGGAAATTAAATGTATTGCGACATATGAAACGAAACCGAGTTCGTCTCAAATGAATGAATTCCGCATAATTACCATATATTTTGATTCAATTTCGATGCTACATCACGAACTGTTTCTGGATTAATAGCGAAGGGCAATGCCGGGCGTTGTACTTCAAGTTCTTAAACTCAATCACAAAGTCTTTGTTTCGACATAACAAACACAATAAGAACGAAATTAAATTCTAAAACACACGAGGATACATCGAAACTCCTTCAATGCGAACACAGAAAGACAACATGGAATAATTATGACGTTGGCCGCCAAAATTCTCAACGGTATTGTTGCCGTCGCATGCGAGGCCTTGCTTTGAAAAATAAACTGAACATGGAGCACTCAAAATAAACTTAGAGGTCAACTAGTGCGAATGAATGACTCAAATACAAAGAGGTGACAGTGCTCGCGATGAAATCAAACATGCCGCCGATAGAGGCTTGCAAAATAGAGGWCTTGTTTGGGGAAACTTGGGCCAATATCAACACTTCATAACTCTGAACTTTCTTTAACGACTTAAAAAAGGGCAAAATTCAATTCTCATCGAATTTYGAAAACTAATTACTGTTAGAACAGCGCTGTAAAATTAAACACATACATTTAGACTCGGCAAGAAGTCTAGAAAGACCACACTGAACCCTCGAGCGAACAAGAACAAAAATGGACCGCGCTAGTTTCCACGGTGAACGCGCTTAAATGTTGCTCAACCAACYGGTCGTTAAGAAAATCCGAAAAACCACATCTCATGTCTTAACCAACATTTAAGCTTTTCAAACAGTGTTGAGAGTCTTGTCGATTCATGCTCAAGTGGGCAGTGGCTCCATTTCAATGGCACAACACCGAAGTTCACGCTTTTTTCMCTTTATAAAATGTCGCAAAACCTTCTTTAGAGCTTTATCTTGAATAAAAATTCCTTGAAATTAAATCTGGAGGCATTTTTCATTCAAATGATGGAGCAACAACGTGTAGATCGAAGAAAATGGCGGCTTGCCACTGGTGCCAAGGTGTGTCGACATCGTCATGGCGAAAATTATCCCGAAAAAAGCAAATATACTCGATCAAAGACCTCAAAACTTGTCTTGAAACTTTCAAGAAACAATAAAGATGAACTATAATCACTTTAACTTACCTTGGTATATATTTTTTTTACGAAATAAAGAGACGTAAGTCTTCTAGCTGCAATCAGATGGCGCACCCACACAGTATGCTTTATGTAAGTCAAAGAGGTCGCTCAACGGATTGAGTCCTGCTTTTTGACTGGCAGGCTCACCTCGTGCTGGACACGTGATCCATTGCGTCATGCCTAAAAAATTCTGTTTATTGATTGAACGAGACGTTGTCATGACAATGTCATGAAATGATCCTTTTGGGAATTGAAATTGTTAAGGGAATAGTGGCACGATTTTTCAAAAGTTTAAAAAAAATGAAAAAATCGCTTGTTTCTAGCGCAAAACATACATAAAGGTCAAAAGGACCATTCATGCTTGACTGGTAACTTTAACTAGATTTATACACATCGTTTTTGAATCGCATGGCGGACGAACGCACTAAAGCGGCAAGATACTTCAATTTTCCGGTTGATAAATCAAATGCGAGAATTTGGACTTTGAACAAGTTAATTTTCAACTAAAAACGATTTTGTAATACTTCGAGCTGCTYTATCGCACCTTTAATTATTTTAAGTCGATAAACWGTGATGATATTTCAAAGGAATGCAATAAAATATACGTAAAGCCTGTGGCATYTAAAGCAGCCCACAAGCTATGGAMACATCATGCTCGAAAAATTAAGTAAGCGCAATATATGGCATCACTTTCAATAGTAATTTTATGTTTATCAAAGAGCAATATTTAGAGGATAAATGTTTTCTATGTAAATAAGAAGACGCCGAAGTTCATCATTTATTCATCCAATATCTGATTGGAACGTTCGATACAAGGACTTTTAAGTAAATAAACTAATTTAAAACTAAAATCAATAATGTGCCTCATTGAAGATTTTTAAAAAAACACACAACCACTGCAGTTCTTGAAGTTTTTGACAGCTCTCGCTTACTTCCCTTTCCAGCGCTCGAGCGGGGGGAGGTATGAATTTTGACTTTGTAAAACGGACGTTTTGATGCCGATGTAGCCCCCCACGATGCAAGCAAATTGAATAAAATATAAATACACATGCGAAGCAATTATACATCTGATATCAGCTAGTCTTTTGAAGCTGTTTGTTGTTGTACTTCGCGATCATTTTGGCCGCGTCACTAAAACCTTCTGATGCGCATTTCGCGCGCGGCGTTGGCGTATTCATTAAACATTGCATCGATAGGCTTACTAAAAAATCCCTACACAAATGATACTTAGTCTAATCGTCATGGAAACTGTTGTTTGTTTACATCTWAAGGTTTTCTCTTGTTTTTGTCTGTTATGGTTACAACATTACAGTGTAGACTATTTTTTTGTAAATTTTCACACATTTACACTCTATAATATGAGCCACAACATTAAAACAAATTTGATTGAAGTCTAGCCACTGTGATTTTATGACGTTCTATTTTATGATGAAAATGTTTTTCTCCTTTGTATAGAAGTTCTTATAGTTTCAAAATCCCCATATAACGGAGGGCCGCTGCGAAGAATGTTTTCAAATGTAATAGCTGGGCATGAATTATGAATRACAACCGGCSAAACCATCACCAACACAAAGCCCAAACAAAGCCAAAAAAGAAATGCTTTTTAATTATGCATACGTAGAAACACTTGGAATTAATTTTTCGATGAACCGAAAAAGTTATTCCATACAGTAGTAATTTGTTGTGTTCTTCAAAACTTTACCATGGCCCGAACACGTATTTAAATAGACGAACAGTTTGAAGCAATAAAACTATGACAATTCTACTGTTCAATATTCCACTGTTAAGATATGTTTCATATTGATAACAGGAGTGTCTTTAAAAAACGTAATTACAATTGAATGATAGGCAAAAAGACCAAAAAAACGAGCGATGCATGAGCAAAGAAAATGCCAATACCCCGCACTAATGGGTTTAAGGTACTCATCTGGTTTTTACATAATCTACTCAGGCACTTMAGTATATACAAGACCATTTCTATTACACAGTTATTTCATAGCGGAGCCCCCTTAAAGAATTGACCAGGCGGTGTCTGGGAATCTAACATAAATTCAAAGCGCCTGAAAGCGTATTTTAAATTATGCTAGAAAAATTACAAAAAACTCAAGTCTTCCAATATTTTTTACTATTTTGTTTCTTACTGTACAGAAATCGCACTTGATCGAAACAAGCGAAAGCTGCTGCTTTGCCTACCCTACAAAAGAGTACACTACCCCTCCCACGGTAAGGACGGAAATTGTTTGTTWTGTTTCTGTCAGCGTGTTCCACATCTGCAATAAAACAGACCACTTTATCATTGGCTTAATGAGCAGCATATTCCATACATATTCTAGAAAWAGATTCAATCGCAATCGAACCAGATTTCAAAGCAGAATTCACGATAAAAACTGGATAAAAACCGATTTACACTTGATCATGACAWGTTGAAATAACATGTTCACAATTCTTATACGAAAAARCCTGAATTTTCTGAGAATTCTACTACAATATGCAGTTTCCAAGTACGCATAATTATTGCCATCTGTGTTCATGTTTTTCTCAATCTTTCGCAAGAGGATGGATGATTCGAAAACGTTGTTATTGGAAACAACAGGAGGGGGAAGGGGAGAGGAATGGTTAGATCAGGGGAGGGGTAGTAGGAATGAAACAAACTTAGGGCGAAAATTCAGTGGCGGATCCAGCACCAGTTCACTAATTTGCATCATAAAACAAAATGATTAATTTTCACGGATTTGTTTTATGATGCAAATTGGTGAACTAGTGCTGGATCCGCCAGTGAAATTATACGCATTTTTCCCGTTCCCAGCTGTCATCGCAACATTTTGAATATATGCGAACTACTCCTTCAACTTTGAGTGGTGATTATCGGTCAAATGTCATCACTAAAGAAATTCTTCTAATTGTTGATATAATTTATAGCCATAGAGAGAGTATTGCTCCTACGATTCCTATCACTTCAGCCTCGAAACGATTTAAACCATTATCATAGATTCTGTCGATAAATGTAATTAAAATAATTAAAAGAAAAATAGATTTTGGATACGAATGTGATTTTTCAGGCTTTGTGTACGTGACACATCCGKAAAATCCCCGTAAAACTATCTCGTGACCTCAAGCTGAAAATGACGCACGATATTGATGCTATTCTGAAATAATATATGTACTTTGCGTAGTTATGGTAAACGAAATGACCAAGAATTCACTGAGAAATGAAGGACAAAGCTACCCCCGCCATGATGGATGAATGTCGACCCAAAAAAACTAAAACTGCATGGGGAGAAGTGTCAGTTATGGCGTTACTATGCAAGCCCATTTCCAGACCGGAATATAGTTGATAGTTGATAGCTCATAAACTACCAAATATGACCATATATCAAACAGCAGGAATTAATTTGTAAGGTCTGTAAGGATGTCTTATAAGTCGATAATTGTGTGATCTCACGTTGTTTATATTTTYATTATTAGTCATTGCATCGCGCTACAGCATTAACTTATCACGTGAAACGACAAGCCTTGACAGGAATGGCACGAGATTCGACTTGGCTAAATTGGGTAAATTGGCTTTATTTCATGATTTACTGCCAAACTTCAAAATGTCTGTAAAATAACCAACTCGAGTATAAACTGCTGTGGGGCGGTTTTCGCTATAGATAAGTAAAAAAAACCAGCGTGAAATAGAATTACACAGATCGAATACACCTTAGTCAATACGCTCTAATTGCATTGTTTTCTTTGAGTCTATTTGGTTTTCATGACTTCTTCTAACCGCCCATCAGGAAACAAACTGCATTGGTCAAGAGGCAAAGAAGAAAATGTGCACAATACTAGAGTCACAATTGGATGCTAAAACAATGTATTTCACGGGCTAGTGAAAGCCAAAGTACCTTAGACATATTATGATAGCATTGATATATTTCCATTATAAACATTCACAACTTTATRCACCATAAAAATGTTACAATATAGTTTTCAGTGAAACATGTTAGACATCGTCAATAACAGTCCAAAAATTTATCTGACCATTCAGTGTGACAACATGTAAAAGATTTGAAGCGTGATTTTGACATTTTAAAGTTTAATTCACCCAAGGTAGCTGATTCATCGTTTTTAAGAACKACGGAAGAGCTGAGAGGACATGTCTTCCCGAACAATAGGCTCATCMATAATGAACAAAGGGAAAATAATGCCAATTGTAGTTGTCATATCCTTTGTTGACGTATTTAGATTATACTTTTTTTGTTCTGATGTTGTTTTAAGAAACATCATCCACTCATTAGGTCATAGTTCAATATTGTTGACTTTCTATATAATTGGCGAATAATTTTGCTTACATTTCGTTTCGTTAACATATCATTAGCATGATAATATGACTAATTTTATCATACAATAATCTAATGAAATACTTATAAGATCTCTCTATATAGTGGAAGTAAGAAAAATGGTATTTTACGACATAATTTGCTTTCATATGCAACTAGAGTACAAACACTAAAACTGTGCAACATAAATACCACTTAATACTGCTAAAT